TGTTGTACGAGGATCGTGTCTCTCCGTATTCGACGGTATTCAGACTAATAGAGTCCAAGAATTTGCAGCCTTTCACTGTCGGTTTTAGATTATAATCCTTTGACCATTTTCGTTTCTGTTATCTTCGGAAGTTCGAATATCTTTTGGTTACTCATCAACCATGGATTCCAAGCGTGTATAGCATACTCGGTGTTTGGTCTAATGTATGCTGATAATAAACGGGGCAATAGGTCTGCTCCGGATGATCCAGAAACACCGAGGACTTGTGTTGGAACAGATACACTTACATCCGTCTCCTTTATTTTCTATTTGTACATAGGCACTCTTTTACTGACTGCAGGAACTCGAAAACAATCAATACATATACTCTGCTTTAGATAAGTGATCCACGGTGGAAGACATTTTCCGGAAAAAATAAAATACGGTTTGGAGTGGATTAGAGTCCAATAAATTTACTGCACTCGCAACTCACTAATGGGACTAATAAAACTACTTCCTCAGTTGGTTATTTCAACAAATTATGTGTTTACGCCTGTCGCGTTCAGTTCAGAAATCAGAAACCAAAATAAATTTAACACTAATGGTCTATTAAAGAACAATCAAACAATACTGAACTGCGAATGTAGCGATTTACTGGTTGTACACCGACTCCCAAAATTCAAATATCCTTCATTTACTGTTGGAAAGTTTAGTTCTTCCTTTTATTACACAGTTTTTACACTAGTTTAGTTAAGTTAGATTAAAAAGCTAATTTTACGGCATAATCAAATTCATTAACTGTTGAATTCACCTCCAAAAGACAAATTTTTATGTTACACATTTCAACGGAAGTAATTATGTACGTTGTTATTCATTCATTATTCATTCTGATTTTCCAGTGTTACCTTATTTGAAGGGTACCAGCCATTTTCTGTAAGATTGAATAGACTAATTTGAGAGCTGTCATGAGACGGGGGAAATGGGGAGGTTAGGCAGCAACCGTTGCGAAGATTGAAAACACTAATTTCGTGGTAATATAGAGAACCCTACTCACGCAATCCATTACAATCAATTGAAGGTTTTTCAGTGATATTGTGTTCCAAAAAGCTTAAACTAAAGACAATATTATTGGTTAACATTCAGAAATTTCAGTATCTGTCTATCCGTTGCACAGGTGGTAATAGAGGAGACTTAGATTTTCCCAGTCATCTGGTATTCCCATCTAGCTTTTCAAGCTTTAACGCATGCGATATTTCAAGGAATTTGATCATTTCGCGTCTGAGATAGGACTACTGATCACAACACTTGTATAACTTAGTGCTTCTTGTCGGGTTTTCAATGTTATTTATCAAAAGGAGTCAATACGTCAATTTAATGTGTATATATATGCACGACTGACAAAACTTACAGTACTTGGTACCAACACGCATCTGTTAGTGACTGCGAAAATTTTCTATCGTGGCCATGTGGAATTGCGTCCAACTGAGTTATCAAAACGGTGCTCAAAACAATTATATAAAAGCCTCTTTTACAACTGCATACAATGAATGAGCTGTGAACAGTTTGATAGGTTGCAAGACAGTGGATCAAACCCTGTCCCATTTGAGATATACTCCATCATAACCGAAAAAAATATTCCCCGTTAATGACTGACTGTTAAATCTCTGAAGCCATGGAGAATTTTAGGGCTGAATGTATGGACACGTCGACCAACAGCCCCAAACTCAATACGATTGATGTTTTGTTTATTGAGCACAAAAGGGAAGAATATAATCTCATACTCAGTTCAGATTTTATAATCCAGTTTTGTTACGGAAGTTCTCACGAGTGAAGTGTACTAGTTGTAGTAGTTGTAGTACGCGAAATAAAAGTCAAGAATTAGAAATCATGGACGCCATGTCAGCACTGGACCACGCTGGCACTTTCACGCAATATCCCACGTAACCGAGAGGCGAGGAAAAGGCCACAGGAATAGCAGCACGTTTATTGGAAGAAATCATGGTGTTTATATAATATGTACAAAACAAGTTCATTGGTCCTCCAAACCTCTGCCAGACTAGGATCACCGCCTAAAGTTTGCACCCCAAACTTGGTAGACCGGGTGCATAAATCGCTGGATATCCAAATAGAGAACAGCGGAGCACAAACCGATTATAGAAATACGGTACATCAGGTGCGTATTGTTTATCCTGTCTATTAGTAAATAAGCGTCGTTTTCGTACAACTCTGGGTAATCCGTCTTGATATCAGACGGCTGACTTTTATAGTATCAAATAGTTAAACATTCGTAACGGAATGCTTATCTCTCTTTACAACTTGCGGGGGTTGGTGGGGGGGCTACACACCGATGATCTGTCAGTAATTAAACCACGAAGGTGGTCCATTAGAAAATAAGTGGAAGTGTGATTTGTTTCCATGGAAGAAATCAGGCATACATGCCATAATTACAGAAAAATGTCTCCCAGAGTGCGTTGAGGGTTTAACCATCTCAGACATTACAGAAGGGGTGTTTCTTTTTGGTTATTCAATTTCGTCCAATGGAGTTCCGGTTGGTTGAAACGTGAATTTACTCTCCACTTTCATATCGGAAAAAATAATGCAGACAAACAATCGTATAAAACGTCACTTTTCCCAAACGTCACCAGCATTTTCATTGTTGATCTCAAATTCCTATCGCTCAATGCACAATCAGATCGATGCCAAGGCCCTGAAAGCTGTCCAGGATAAAAGACATCTACTGAACCAGTCCAAGTTACAACTGGATCAATTGCGTAGTCGACTGGAACGAAATATGAACACAGATTTGCAGTTAATTCGCTTTCGAAGACGAGAGAGCAGCGAACGACTTTATCCACAAGTGAATGTCTATCCCCTTTCCACACTGAATTTTCCGACAGTGGTATCACGAACGTAGACTTGGTAACGGAATTGCTGACTAGAGATTCATGGAGGGATGCTTCCCGAATAAAGTTTCTTGCACTGATCAAAGTGCTATTTTCTCGTAGTGTTTAACTTTCGTCTTCCACTTTCATTGCTCGAGATTATGTGCTGTTTAAATTTTACTTTATTTTATTCGAGTTTTTAAATGAAAATCTACATGTATTCATTTGGTATTCTGTTAATTATAAATAAAACACGCTACCATCCTTCTAGGGAATTTCCTTGAAGTTTCGATAACGTTTTGATTAACAGTTTAAAAGAAACTGTATGCATTCGGAAATCATGATCACAGGATGTGTTGAATTCAACTGTTTGATGATAATCTCATCAGGTGTGTACACCAATTTAGTTGAAAAGAAATTTCGGGACAAGCGAACACACGAAAAATGATATGGTGCTGTTCTAATTACCAAGCATAATTATATCAGAAACGTGTAATGAGTGTTTTCCAGCATAAGCAAACTTTTTCTGAAATTTCTGAAAGTGACCAAAGAAACCAGCATGTTTAATTAACTGATACTTCGAAGTTATCGACCATCTCCTAGCTACGATATTCGTAGAGTTCTCAGCTTTGGTATTCTCTTACGTGCCATCCTGTCAATGATTGGAGCACCACACCAAACATGATTATCGTTTTCACATGAGAAAATGGGGAATGTGATATGACTTAAGCCTGTGGACTAGGAAGCTGATTTATTGTGCTCACTGCTCAATGTATTTACCGGTTTTGAACCGGATGCACTCGATCAAAGAACTACCTAATGTGTTTATAAGATACCTTTGGAAGACAAAGTGGAATAATAACGTCAAAACCCATAGTATGTTCAGATTTCTGTTCCTGTGAATGAGTTCGCTTTAAAGCTTTCAGAATATCACGTAACTTCCTGTGTGAAATTTGCTGAGAGGATTCTCACAGATCCTGACCATCCATTGCACGCAGAACTGAACGTTGTCACTCTCTTCATTCAACACGCTTAAATTCCGTGAAACTTCATCTCGAATTTACGCTTACCGCAATTCACCTATACTGTATCTTGCTCGTCTACTCATAAAAAAGAGCGGACAATAAGTGAACTTCGTTTTAACCTTGGATTATGAAATGTCCCCATGTCTGTAAAATCTTTTCTCACCGTTGATTATGTATACTTTGACGGTTAACCAGTATAATATTTTTAACTGAAATGTGAGCTCCACTACTTGCAAACGTTACACACAATGCAATACACAATATAGTACAATACAACACTATCCATTGAATAGTGTTTAAATGGGCAATTGTGGTATTTTGGACAGTATCTACCACGAAGTTAGTGGGAAAAATATTTCATGATGTGCATTCTTCTCAAGTTCTATAAATTCCTATTGTTCATTGAAAACTTCCACATGAAATAGGGAAATTGGTCATTCCATTGCACATTCTTCTGCTTATTTATGCTTATCATTGTCTACGCGCATAACACTCAACATCTCAGTTTGGAAAGCATTCCAGTGTGAGCTATTTTGCTTTTTACACTTGGTTCCCCGAATGTTTTTCTATCACAATCCGTCTGCGTCAGATTCACGTTCTGAGTGATCTCATCTGCTAAATTATCTAAAAAAAACGAAGTGATATGCTCCCCCGTGGATTTGGCTCCATATCCACTAGGGCATAAATGAAGCTGTGACAAATCTGCTTGACAAAACCGCATTATATCAATCAGCTACGCGCTCCCAGGTTGACGACTATAACTCGAATGAGGGTATCACAGCAAACTCAAATATTCGACACAAACTTTCAAAAGTTTAGGGAAAATATTTTGGGTCATGGTCAGGGAAACGTCAGCACGCCTTGTTCGTGACCATCCGGAATGAATCACGGTAATTATCAGGTGCTTTATTAGATTGATATTTTTGTGTAACTGAGAGAGATTCGACACGCTAACAAGGTATGTGTAAAGTGCGCTGATGAGAATTGCGATTGTTTTCAAAAGGACAAATGTAAAAGTACGTCATAAAGGTTTGATTCGATCAATTCGTTGAACAGCCTGATGATCAAATGCATCAAAGTTTGTACTGCTACCAAGGATTCTTCAGATTTGCGTCAGACAACTAAAGTTCACAGAACTCGGGCAATTATATAGAGATAACTAAATTGGACGAAGAAGTAACTATGGTTTTCATTGAATTAGAATAAGGTATTCCGACTGTCACGGTTCTGTTGAATTCGATTGGGATTTCTATTGAATTTGTAAAAATTCTGGGATTCAAAATCCGAGAAAGCGAGTGTCACGTATTTGGGATATTTGAGTTTTATATTATATCTGTTTACTGCTCATTACAGTGAGCTCAATGATTATATGAGACATCACACAGGAGTACTGGTACTGACCGAATGTGAACTTCAATAAGTCTCTTCCACTGAATGACCGAATGGATAAGGTATTACACCCACATAAGACGGGTTGTAGGATAACCGGAAACCATTAGGTAAAAGCATGAGTTTATTTCACAAAATGGCTTATAAGCGTGATACACGTATCGTAATTTCATTTTCTAAGTAATCCATGCACTCTCCTTCAATCTTGAGCATTCAGACTAGTCGCGTTTTCGCAAGGAGTCTACTAAAACGACAATCACATCATTCCTGACAGTTTGAACCACTTCATACCTCTAACAACCACGTTCAAAGCTGTCGACCTTGTTCTGCCTTCACCGTAGAGAAAAGATGATTTCTGCCAAAATGGCAAGCAGTTTGAGAAGCTGCTCGCTGTTCAGGTGGGCAATGTTCTTGCGTTCTACCAATGAGGTCCCCGCTTAGATTCTCTGTTGTTTCGATACAGTCGCACTGATGAAAGCCAACCATGAAGAAGCAGTTGTCCAGGACTTTCTAGACTTGCCGTTTACGTTTTAATTGCCCTGTACACAGAGAAATCAAATATGTACTGAAATCAGAGGGTGTGGTCTGAGTGAACGTTTCGTCACCACAGGACAGATTGCGGCTAGGCAAATTTTTCATCAGTTTTCCGTTGAGTAAAGTGTGGTTTCTTACTGCATCTGGTAACACTGAATGCTTTCATTTTATACATAACACAGGACAGCAAGCAAGCTCGTCTTCACCGATTAGTAATTATGTTAACAAATCGCAATATGTATCATGTTATGCGGTTGGACGCGATTAGAATTAACTAAATACGATCATGATGCTACTCTGCATTCTGCTTGATATGTGTTGATCGGGACTACTCATTCATTCATTTCGGTCGACAAATTATGTCGAAATTCTATTCGAACTATTTTCAGCAGCAATGGAAGAAGTCCAAGGCTATCGATGCGGGTGGGGAGTAATTTGGTATAACACTTAAAACTTGGGTGGGTTCAACTCCATTTTTCGAGTACAAAACTGTTCAGACATTCCTGAGCACAACTGCTCCAGTTTTAAAGTTTCAGTCTTTTTGTTTGAGAATGTATTACTCTAGAGGAATTTGACTGTTTACTTTCGTATACTGATAGAGGATGCACATCCTTGTATAAATTTCTTCCGAAATGGTAAATCGTTTCGCAACAAGCAGACTGGATCGACAGAGCATTTGTTATTTATTGCTTGTATATAATTTTAATGAAAACTGTCTTCTTGCTCAATTCTTCATTTATTCAGTCGAAAAGTTTTGTTGACTGGATGAATTCAAATTGATTCACGAGGATGAAACCAAATAATAACCAGTGACAAGCATTATCATATATGTGACACGAGTACGTTCAATTGAATGTAATTTTTAACACACAAGTTATACGATAAAAGGGATCAAATTCGATTGGTAAACGATATATAACTTCCTATTTTCGGAAGCTTTGTGATATTGATTTTTATTTGACAACATAGTTCATGGGTGATTGAGGCCGCCATCAAAACCGGTATTGGTTAGACTTTTATCACCAACACATGATTAGTAATACTAACACATGTGCTCTCCTGTTGATTAACATCATTTAGGGTACACAGAAATTTTTTATATCCCCCCCCACACACACACCGGCATTCTAGTCCACAGTTCTGGAGCACTAATTTGAAATAGTGCTCCCTAAGTTAAGTGTTGAGCGACATATGAAAAGTGAATGAAATGGATGATCACAGTTCTACATTGTTTTAAACACTGAAGTCAAGTACCCTCAAATTCGGCGATACAGTGTGAAGTACAATCGAAATGATCCCAGTCTATCCTCATAACTCTTGGAATGCAGTCCACTGACCATGTTGGTGACCATTCTTTATGGACGTCCCGGAATCTTACAGTTGCTTTACAACCATAGATTCCACACTTAAGTGGCGCAGTCCATGTGAGGTCGAATCTAAGCTGATAACAGAGGTTTGAATAGCACAGGTTCAAATCTGACAAATGCTCGCTTTGGCAAGCCTTGTCTTGCTGCGGTGGACGACGCCCGGGAGCAGTTCAAAGAACAACTTAAGTTGAATGGAACAGCAACACGGAGATCCTTCTCATCTGAGGCATATAGTGGTTCCTGAGGTCGGCTTGTCTGGATTTATTTCTTCGAGATGGAAATGAAGTCCAAATTACCTAAGATCTATCTGTCTCCAAAAGATGAACCAAATTTATTTGGAGAAAGATTTGAAAACAGGATTCTATTACAATCCGACAGCCAACAAATATTCATCAGGCACACCTTTGCCATTTCAGTTTTCCATCCGATCAAAAATCTGAGCGCCATATATTCAACCTGAAAAAGTTCAATGTCTGTGATATTTGTTGCACATCGTGACTATGAGCCCTACAGAAACGGCCTTTCTTGCCTGCAAGTTTCGGAGCTGTTTAAACTACTTAGCTTGATTGTGAGTAGTGAAATCAGATGAGTGTTTGATTTTCCGTTTTCTGTTATCAGTGGATAAGGAAGAACGTGTCGTCATGAAAGTTCGTTGCACAACCGGAAAAGTTCAGTAGTGACGACAATTAAGTTTACTGTTCCTAACGGTGTAAAAAC